TCGAATGGAAACGATACTTATGATCCTCGTTTGATTTGAATCCATGCGGATAATTTTTTTTACGGACCTGATTTGTTTACTCTTATCGTATTCAAGTTGATCTGACGTACCATTACGCAAATTAAAGTAAAATGTTTTTTTAAGTAAATTGAAAAATCAAATAAAAATACAATGTATTTGCCATAAAAATATAGGTAGCCTAACAAAATTAACGCAAGTAAAAAGTGAGCTTTTCGAGTAAAGATAGTATGAAACGTGTTTTACGATTCGCTTTACTGTCATCGCTTGCTAGCAGGTGTTTTTACGCCGTTCTAAACCACAGTGTGTCGATCGTTAAATGCTCTTCGTCGCCTTTGTCTTCACAGTCGATTGACTTCTTGCGACTGATATTTATGAACCCTTGAGTCAATAATAGAAGTGAAAAATAAATAAAATAGAATATTCGCGTGAGTCTAACTTCCTAAAACGCAGCAGCTTATTTTTCTTGGTCAAGTTTCCATGACGTACAAGAAAATTCAACCAAATGTGCATTCGACTTTTTGCTTAAATATTTTACTTGGTGTAAAGAATATAACTATTTGGTGTCCCTGAGGTCAGTACACTTTAATTAAAAAAAAAAAAAAATCTAGTGAACATTGATCACTACTATTATTTTTATTATTTTGGTGTCTTTTCCGTTTTTCCTTAAACACACACGTACACGTACACGTACCCACGCATGCCCACACACTACGTTCCGATCGAGACGATAAGAGCCCATGTTTGGAGTATACCCGAGGGCAGAGATACTTGCTCGAGATTAAAAACATTTGAACCTACTGATCTCGAAAATAACAGTTTTTCTTCCCATTTTACTGTGCTTGGATGTTTACGGAAGAACACATGAGAATTTACGATTCTCGTTGTCCAAAAGGAATTTGTAAAATTAGAGCATTTTATTGATCTTGGATCAAACATTTTTTTTTAATGATACTCAATTTTACCAATTTTGTGATAAGTAAGTATAGCAAAAGTCAAAATGTATGCAACTTTCAATTTTTTTTTTTTTTTCACTTTTCATGTGAATTTTTTGAAATATCCATTGAATCGAAAATAATAAAAATATGATACATGTTATTGCGAGTCGGTGGAAAATTGTTAGTGCATGTCGTTTAAAAACAAGCAAATTCAAGACAAGAATAAAAAAAAAAAATAATAATTATAATAGTCATAATAAGAAAAAAATCGACACGTCACCTCTTTGAATTTAAAGATAAACGGCTCTTCCTCGAGTTCAATCTCGATCTCCCAAGAGAGTAAGTGCCTCTCCTCCCCTTTGGTATATACCTACACGGACTCTCGTGAGAAAGAAACACATGTATTTCTCACCGTTCCATAAATACCTACATATACTTATAAGATCTCCTCTTCCTCCTTCTCGTTCGATGACACTTTTCGTGGCGTGCTGAAAAACTGGCTCCCGCTGACACGATACTCGTCGTGCCGCTATTTACCTATACCCATAAAGCGTATTTTTATTTATTTTTTTTTTTTCTCCATGAGCTCTCGAATAATCAATTTTCCCCATTTAATTATCTTTCGAGGACACGTCACGCGATAAGACGAGTATTTACGCGCGGGACACTTTGTTTTGATTTATACAAGCATCGGAGACACGAAAAATCCCGGACGACGAGGAGGCGGCACTTTTAATGTTACCCATCGTCGATTCGAGCGGTGAAATCTGTCGCGACGACGATCAGTTGCCATTGGCCGAGTTTATTTTGTAATTAAACGAAAGCTTTTTTTCCGGTCGATTTGGATGAGGTTGTTTGAAATTTAGGACGTGTTGAACAAATTTTACGTGGTGGTATCGACGCTTTACTCGAACATCCTTGGAACAGCATGTTATATATTTATGGCGTCTTGCAGAACTCTTCGAACGTGCCCGTTAAGGTGTACGACGAGTGATTTGTGTATTACCACTCGACTTTTTAATGTACAAAGTAAATCATTTTATGATATATGTTTACCGTACGCGTGGAAATTTCAACCGCCCCTCTCTATTGTACATGTATACCCCGTGGACCATTGCACCATTCAGAATATTACCAAATAATTTATTCTTTCTCGAAACGACTAATTTTAAGACAAGTAATATTTTTACCATTAAGAACAAATATTCACTGAGAGATGTATTTTTCAATACCAATGCAGTTTATCAATGTTCTTATTCCTGTGCTAATAAGCAAGTATGCACCGAAGATAAATATATTTATAAATATACAATNTAGGAATTTTAAAGAAAAACGCTACTTTTTCAAATGAAGTATGTCCACGTGAAGTAAAGTTCGCACCAGTGCTCTCGCCTGGGCGTCTACTGAAGCGGGAGGGAAACGAAACCAGAGACTAGACTTCTAATCTCTGACGAAACGCACGATGAGAGATGTATTTTTCAATACCAATGCAGTTTATCAATGTTCTTATTCCTGTGCTAATAAGCAAGTATGCACCGAAGATAAATATATTTATAAATATACAATAAATTTACCATTTATAAAATCATTATTAATTGTCCGGGGAGAAAAAAATAATACAGTGAAAGATACAATACGTAGACACCTTTGAAAGTTTTACCTAATTCTGCATGTAAATAAAAATAACACTATTAAAAATACGATTCTATGCAAAAAGGATCAATTGAAACCTTCCAGTACATCGATACGCAAAAGTAATTTTTTTTTTTTTTCGGAGAAATCTAACAGATAACCATCTTATCAATATTTTAAATTTTAATTTTACATAAAAAAAAAATAATAATAATGTAAAAGGATGCATGAATAGAGACAATTAGTTCATCCTCTCTTGTTCTTATTTTGGGGGAAGGGAGAATAATCTGATGATAAAAAATCGGATGATTCATCTAAATAAGAAAGAGGTAAAAACTGTATGAGTAAAGTAATAGTCCAAAATAGAGTACTCATAAATTGAGAAACTAATAAATAGATGTCTGCGTTTCCGTAGACTTTGTCTTCGTCGTTGTTCTGAACGGAAGTAATAATCATTTTTCATGTGAAGGGTATTATAAAAAAATATATGTAAGAACTCATTTTGCAAAGTACACCACTCAATGCAATATCTTTTGTGATATCATACTGTAAACAAATGTATGGATAGATCTACAAAAGACACATAATGTACACCGAAAACTTTCCTCTGAAACGCCTAAATCTTCCCAAAAACTACGTCTGTCGAAAGAGAGAGCAAATTTCATCGCAAATTTTCCTCTCAACTTTCACCATGAGAGTGAATATAAATTCTGCCTTATTATTACAGTTTTTCCTTTCTCTCTCTCTCTCTCTCTCTCTCTCTTCGTTCCTTTACGCTATGATTTTCCACGTGCACGCCCTTAAGGGAAAAGTTACGTGCTTGTTTGCTTGAGCCGAGATGAGATGCCTGGCTTATGTATAAATATAAGAACGAGAGCCCCTCACTCCTTTCGTATTATGTGAAAGGGTCTTTCTTACGTATATACCTATACTTTTCTTTTTGTCCCAATAAAAAAAAGTAGACACTTGTTTTCTGTATGGAATTTTCACGAAATAATCGTTTCTTTAAAAACGATTTAAAAAAAATTGTTTTCTTAAAAAACAAAATAATATCAATGTATTAATTTTTTCATCGGATTTTCTCAACGTTTTCGTAATCTTTTATAAAATTTTAGCATCGTACAGTAGTCAAAATATAGCCGTATAATAAAATTAAAAATGACATTGCCTATTTTAATTAGAGTATCAAATTGAGAAAATCAACCGCCGTTCACTGATTAAAAAATTGTCTAGATTAATATTGGCGCCAAGGCAATTTTAAAAATTTTTTTAAACTTAACGCGGGCCTTTAGGCACAATTTTTTCCGCAGTCAATTGCAAGTAATAGCATTTTTAATGAGTAATATTATCATAAGAAAAATATCTATTGTTTTATCGTTATTTACGATTTTTACGATGTCGATAAAAGGTAATTAAATACTTTTATTCTATATTTATTGGTACAGACTTCATTACTGATTAAATGTTATTGCTTAATGATGGGATATTATAGGAAATTGTTCTAACAAAGTGACGCCTTACTGATTTCTTCCTAATCGCCTGTTGTGATTTTCAAAATAAACAATTGATAACATCATTGTCTCGGTGATTTGTTTATGAATAATTCTTATCTTCAAATCGTTTTTACTAAATCTATAATCCACATTAATTACATTTCAAGCCTCCATAAGGAATAAAAAAAAAAAACAATGGATTTAAAACATTATTTATTCACTGATACTTTATCTACATTAGTATGTATGTATCTACATGTAACGAAATATATTTATAGAAATTATTCAACCTGCATACACGGTGCACACAATTTCTACGTTTTGCAGGATATTCTGCAGGTACCTTAACATGGATTGGGTGAAATTTTGCTATGATGGTAATTATATAAAAGATGGAAAAATTATCAAAATAATTTTAACGCAAAATAATAAAATTGATGCCTAAATAAGTTACAATACACCTAATACGTATTTTGGACTAACGACTACTTTTTATTTTTTTTAAATTCCGATAGTACAATGGAATTAAAAAAAAACCATACTTTGTGCATCCCCTTCAGCTTAAGGCATATAGCAAGGCTGTTCATGAATTCGTGCCGTTATGAGGATCTCGACCAACAAACAGCGTTTTGGGGTTCGCGGGACACAATTCAATTTTTTGCATTTTTTACAATTATTTTTGCAATGAAAATTTTTTATCATCAAAAAATTTTAGGAAAAAAAAATTATGGTAAAAATCAGACGTCTAAATTCAGAAAATAATTTATTTTAAATTAATGAAAAAATTTTAGTATACTAGGGAAAAAATTACCAT